TAGTTGGAGAAGGAGGCGTGAGGCTGGGAGTGGAATCAGAACGACGGGATGGTTGGCCCAGCAGATGAGGGCTGAGCGCTAAGGAGTGCGGCCGGCCATGTTGATTTCCAGAGAAGCTGGAAAGGATGAGAAAACCTTCTCCCCTAACGTCCCCAGAAGGAGCACAGCTCTGCTGACGCCAGGACGTTAGCCCCGTGGGACCCACTTTGGACCTTGGACCTCGAGCATTGTGAGGTGATGAATTTGTGTTACTTTAAGCCGCTAAGTTTGTGCTCATTGTCGCAGAGGCCTGTAAGGGGACAGGGCTGGTGCGGTGGGTTTCTGCTAGGACAAAGACACGCAGGCCCTGGGGGAGGGAAGACTGAGGATGTGGGGTTTTGTTTCTGGTGGGCAGTGAGGTGCAGAGGCGTAAGCAGCAGCATTTCATGGGGCTGGGGGGGCAGAAAGTGGAGTCTGAGCCACATGGGGGTCAGAGTGAGACCCGCAGGGCATGAGATGAGAGTGACATGAACAGGGATAAATGGCAAAAGAGACTGGTCCTGGCGGGGAGGCCGTGAGCCCTGGGAGATGGAAGTCATGGGACCTGGGACCCCCACTGCCTGACTCTCCGAGGGGCCCTGGACCTACTCTGTGCAGTGCTGGTTTGGGGATCAGGGTGGTGTCCACGGGGCAGATTTTAGGAAAACCTGCCCTCACACCTCCAGGTCCTGGAGCCCAGCTCAGGGGACAAGGTCTGTGTCAAAGACCCCAGCAGTGCACAGAGGGTGCCCGGGCTTATTTGCACCCTGGGGAGGATAAATGAGAACGTGGGCTCCCGGACTGCATGGCCGCAGGTGTATCTGGGGAGGAGCAGATGGAGAGGCGCCCAGGCGGAGCGCGTCAGCGCTGTCTAACCTAGCAAGCTGCAGGCGCTGGCCGCGCCTCTCTGCTGCAAACAATCCATTATTCACCTTGTCAAACAGACTCCCCTGAGAAGCCGGTTTCAGATTTGGCTTGTAAACGGCAGCTGGCCGCCTGGCCCTTCTCTTACCTGTCCCTGAGGAGCTGTTGAGCCACAGCAGTGAGCATTTTACAAGCAGGAGGGCCACAGGTGACTACAGGCTGCCAGAAAGCAGGTGACTGGCCTGGCAGGCTCCAGGATTCGAGGGAATCATGGTCTTTATGGGTTTCTGCAGCCAAGGGAACTGGCTCTTTCTAGAAGACAGGCTGGAATACGCTGCCGTGTAATTAGGGATGAGTAAACCAAGCCATATGGGCAGAAGAAAAGTCTCCCTTGAGTCAGTTGTTTGGTTTAAAAAATGTGTTAAATATTAGGAAATGATTAATTTTCCATGCATTCCAGATGAGCCCATTGTTCTCCGAGCACAGGAAAGGCATGTTTGCTCATTTAACGCCCGGTTCCTGGGGGGCCCACTGTACCGTATGCCAGGGTGTAGAGACACAGCATTGAGCAAATCAGGACAGTCGTGGCTGCCATGGAATTTACAGGGGCAAGAGACAGACAGTAAACACGCACATGGTAATCCAAACAGGTTTACCTGGTCATACGCCAGGCCGAGTGCGTGTGTGGGTGGGGCGTGGGGTAGGTCCCACATGGCGGTGAGCGGTCACTGAAGTCCTCTGAGGACAAGAACTTCATTGGAAAGCTGAAGAATAAGGAAGAGCCAGTCCATGAAACTTGAGGATCAAAGGTTTAGTAGGAGGAGACAGAGGTGGGGAATGGTGTGGTCTGGGCAAGGAACAGAAAAGAGGACTGGATTGGAGTCGGAGGTGAGGCTGGAGAACTTGCCACCAAGGAAGGTGGCTGAGCCTCTTGCCTGGATCATCCTGAATGCAAAGGGAAACCGCGGAGGGCTCGAAGCAGGGGTCTGATAGGATCTGAAGCGGCTTTAAGCTCTATCTGGCTGCTGTGTGGACGGGGAGGTCAGGAGTGCACGAGGGGTAAGCAAAGGGCTGCTCTGTCATCCAGGTAGGAGACGGGGATGTTCTGGTGAGAGGAATCATGGAGGTGGGATGATTTCAGAATGGACCCAGCAGGATTTGCTGATATGTGGGCAATGGGGACAGCCAGGGTTATTCCCAGGGTTTTGATGAAGTGACTGCATAGATGGTGTAGCCATAAACCGATAAGATGGGTGTGTGTTGGGGGAGTGAGAAAAAGGAGATTGGGAGTCAGGAAATTTGGGGGCATGTTGAGTTCAAAATGCCTCCTGGCTACCAAAGAGAAGAAGGCGCATGGCGGGTCAAGGAGTCTGGCGTGTGTACGTGAAGGTGTAAATATCATCCCCTCCACGGTTGTCCTCTGAATGCCTTCTTCCCATCGTATTAAGGGCAGAGGGTTCTTCATCGAACATCCTCTGACACTTTGCACAGCAGCAGAAACTGTTAGCAATGTGTTTTCGAGTTGTGTCAGTGAGGTGTCCCCATTTCCAAAAAACGTAAGGCCCACTGATGTAAAAAGCATAGCCTCTGGGAAGCAGAGCGACTCGGGATTGCGCTTCCTGCCTCAAGTCCAGCCCAGTGCTTCAGAGCTTGAAGTTTTTGGTAAATGGGGATTTCCTAGAGGGCTGAGGACAGGGCAATATACAGCAGGGGGTTTTCGTTTCTTTGATAACTCCACATCGGGCCATTTACAAAGCTCAGCTTGGGGATTTTATCAGAAGGGCAGGGCAAGAGGCAGAGTGAGAAGCCCTCTCTGGAGAAAGTTTGGTCCGATGTTGTCCATCTTTGAACTGCAAAATGTCATGAGGTTTATAGCAAGCACGTCCGTATACTTCATCACAGCTACTGGGGATCCTCAGGCAAAAGAAATGACTTCACTTTCATTTCTTAAAGGTTCTTGTGGTTCTGTGCCTCTGTACTCAGCATTATTTTATACTCAGCCTGGTTTTACCAGGAACCCAGTTTCCTTCCAATTTATGAACCTGAAGAGGCTGAGTAGGAGTCAGCATTTGTCCTCTCAGTCTTACCACTTCTTAAATTCCAACCTGGCATGAAACCACCGTTCTGTTTCTACTCCTTTGTATGAAACCTCATCATGCTGTTGGATACAGCAAGGAACATGTTCAGATTCGCAAACTCCTGGCAAAGTCACCCCAAGATGCGCCAGTACAAATTTCCTTGTCATCTCAGGTTTTGAAAATCGGATAAATTCAGGTTTTTGGCTTTAATGATCTATTTAGAAAAATTAAAATTCCATTGTCAGAGCTCTAAATGTTTTCTTCCAGATATAGTCAAATGAGGTCCTAAGATGAGCTCAAGTGCCCAGAAGCCTTAGGCGAATCTGAAATCTGTTTGTTAAATGATAGGACGGTGGAGCAATAGCTAAGATTGATGAAGCATGCAGTACCTGTGAGGTGGGGACAAGTGTCTTCATTTTATATCTGGGGAAACTGAGGCACAGGCCAAATTTGTGTTAATGAAGTGTGGCTCACATATAAATATAGAACACAGACTTGGTTTTTTAGGGTTTTGCTTTTTGTTTTTGAGATGGGATCTCGCTCTGTCGTCTAGGCTGGAGTGCGGTGGCGCGATCTTGGCTCACTGCAACCTCCACCTCCCGGGTTCAAGCAATTCTCCTGCCTCAGCCTCCTAAGCAGTTGGGACTACAGGTGTGCGCCACCATCCTCAGCTATTTTTTGTATTTTTAGTAGAGCCAGGGTTTCACCGTGTTAGCCAGGATGGTCTCGAGCTCCTGACCTTGTGATCCTCCCACCTCGGCCTCCCAAAGTGCTGGGATTACAGGTGTGAACCACTGCGCCCGGCCCAGAAGTGTGTTTTTTTAAATGACTATATAGTTTTAGCCTTGTCCTCTACTTAAGTGATTTTGACTTTCTATTCAGAAGTGGTATAAGGTTTTCAGAAAGTGAGTTAATTTAAAGCAAAACAGTTGGCGGCAACTGTAGCATCGTCTTAGTGGGGAAGAGTTGCCTCTCGGGTATGTGGCCCTGGGCAGATATTTTCTGTGGGGCTCCTGTCTGCATAAGCAACTTGAGCCATTCCTCAATCAGCGCCTTTCTGGTGGTCACACTATCCCACAAAAATCACAATGAAAATACTGCACCAGCCATCCGGAGCATTCTGCTCACTGGGGTGCTGTTCTGCACCCTGTTGGTGCAAGTTCCGGAGCTCTTTGGGGCATCTGCATGGGAGAAATGGGAGCCAGCTGGTCCCAGCCACCAGAGGGAGACTAAGGACATTTCAAAATAGGCACTTCCAGCAGCCAGGACCCATGCAGGACCCTCTCTGGGCTTGGGACACCTGCCCATTTGGTAGTGCTGGTTCCAGGCACTGGAATGCGGGGTAGGGGAGCGCTAGAAAATTCCCAGGTAAACATCCAAGTGTGGGCCTATGGTAGAGTGGAGTGGTCTCTAAGGCATAGGGCCTGGGGCAGGGACTCCATTTCCCTGGGGTTAAAGAGTGGGAGGAGGTTCAAACTACAGGAAGACTTTTAAAAAGCTCCTTTCAAACCTCTCAGGCGCTTTAGCTACAGGTGGTAAATGCTGTTTGAAGGAGAACTTGGCTAGAAGGTTCTAGTACTTATGTTTATGGGTTGGAAGGCATAAGGTGCATTTTTTTTTTCTTTAACCTTGACATTCTGCAAGATGCTCAAATAAAACGATGGCTTTTGCCTTCCAAGTGGCTGGCTTAGCCCAGCGGACTATAAATGCTTTGGGACCCTTAGAGAGCTGGTCTGGGGTAGGCATCATAAATCTCTCATCGCTGCTACCTCAAAAGTAGTCTAGAGGCACAGATTACAGCAGAGCTGTGCTGGGGAGAATCAGACACATTCAGGTTGATGATGCAGTTTTTGTCACCTCTGACAAGTGGCTTCTGAGCCTGAGTCCCAAACACAGTGGGACTGTACCTACCTCCCAGGGCTGAGACGAGGAATAAATGCGCACACTTATGTGCACACACAAAATGTTCCTTGCTGAGTGAGCCCGAAATGTAAAAAGAATATCTAAGTAGACTCTCTGGAAAAGAAAGATACACCAAAGTAGCTGTTGCTTCCAACTGTTTTATTGCTAAACTATCATGATACAAGCCGTATAAAAATACTTTACATATAGGAAAAATAAACTACATTAAACTGGAGATTAAAAACATTTGCATAGGAATGTGATGTATTCAAACGCCTTTAACAGTCAGGATTTTCCAAACCTAAGCCTGCCAGCACCACCGTGTTGGAGAGATCTCTATTTGTTGGAGAACTGTATTGGTTTTCTCTCCTCTAAGGTCTGTAGAGGCCATAGGGGTGAGTGAGGTTCTTTGACAAGATGTCCAGGATGCTAAGCTTGTGGTTCCAACAACCACAGCCTCTGCCTGCTCAGGCCAATCAGAATGCGGTGAGCACCTGCTCTAATGGAAACATCATTTGCATCCATTCCATTCAAAGCCTGAACTCAGCAGGGAGTTTAGTCCACCAATAGCTGCAGAAAGGTAGAATGTTAATAACCCTTTCGCTTCCAGTTCCCAGGACCCTGAGGGTTCAGGGAGCATCTCTCTGTTACCAACCACCAGAAAAGTTTGTTCTTAAACACTCAGTTAAGACAGTGATGTTGGCTTAGGTCAAGGCACTCACAAAGGCTGAGGGAAGTGGATGATTCTGATCACAATTGTATGTGAAGCTGCTTCTTCTTAAGCACTTAGTTGGAATGCAGGAATATACTTATATGCAGTTGGTTGTTTTGGTTCCACAAAACTTAATGCCCAAGCCTCCAGCCTAGGAGACCCAAGGTTAAGATGTGTTGGGTCACCAAGCACCGTGCCTCCAGGAAATGAGTTCGGGAAAGGTTAGCCCAGCTTGTCAAGAACGTCACAACTCCATCCATGCCTCTTGTAAACTCGAAATGAAAACATTCTTTCAATTCTGAGCAATAGAAAGCACTTGGAGAGGTCTTTTATTTTTCCTTGACATGACAAATTCAGCCTCACTGTAATCCAGAGTGACAAACAGAACATACCAACTTCCGATCTGCCTAAATGTGACAGTCCCCGAGACTGACTCACTGCAGCAGACGTCTTGGCTGTTGGATGTAAACAAAAAAAAATGCAATATCAGTGCCTCCCAGTTTTTTTTGAAGGAATCAGTTCATCCATGGTTATGTCTGTGCTGGAAAACTGTCCTTTGGATAAAGCCTACAGGAATTACCTACCAGGATTTAGCTTTGGTCCCCTCTGTAAAGATTAGCCTGAACAGAGGGTTCTGTGAACATGAATTCTTTTTCGAATTCCATTACAATGAAGGCAGAGTTTTGGTGCCAGTTTTTAAAATCAATATCACCCACTAGACTACTTGTTTTGGAGGGAGATCTAGACACTTGATGATTCTCAGCGACTAGATCCAGGCTCAGGGCTGACGTCAGCATAACTCTTGAGCAAGAAAAAGGTGCCCTTCTTCCGCAAAGCCATTCCTTCTCCTGAGATGCTGTCTGTCTTCTATACAGGTGACTAACAGGCTCTGAGTGGGGATTTTGTGATAAGGCTTTTTGTTTCCTGGAATGATTAACAAATGTTTCAAGAACATGTCATTTCTCTTAAGAAAAACAGAGTCAACCTATGTGTAAAAAGAGACGCTTCAAAAGATTTCTGACCATTTATAAATATAAATCTAATTCCAACAGGGGTGTAATATTTTGAGGACAGGTAACAAGCATAAAAATACAGGTAAGAAAATAAAATTTAATAACATACTAATTAATCTGGATTGCTATATATATTATCAAGCAGCAGCATTTTTATATAATACAGGAAGACTTGCAAACTTTGGAAATATACTACATTCAGCAACATGGTAGGTCTGTCAAGTGCTATATGTTTACGTTAACTTAGATATAGCAAGAGCAAACCTTGACTTAGCTGAGATCCTTCTAACACACGTGCAACACACCCATCTTTACCATTTAGACACCCCTACTTTCTCGTTCTCTTAGAGGATCTTATTGCCTCTTCCCATACCGAAAATATTTCATGAGCCATCATTCTTGGCAAAATTTCCTCCTAGCATTTGTAACTGACCAAAAAGACTTCCTCGATAGCTGTCAGTTCCTAATACACTTTCTCTTGCCTGTTTATGTCTCAAATCTAATGCGTTTGTTTCTCTTTCCTTTGCTATTTGGTATAGTTGTTTAGGAAAGTGCTTCCTATAATATCCAGCTAAGATGTCTAGAAAAAGAGAGGGGTTTGTGTGTGTATTACACACACACATGCGTACGGGAGGCTGAGCTACCAGGAGGCCTTTTTGCAAACATAAACTGATGGAAAATGCATTACTCCTTTTTCACCTTGTGGGCAAGGAAGCAGAGCTACTTTGCTACAATAGCAGGAAGGCACTTGGGTAAAACATTCAGATAACTGAGGAAAGGCCAAATTCCCCCATGTGCAAAAAGTGGCTCCTAGCCAGGTCAAGTGAGATCAAATCACTCACCACACTCTTGGCTTTTCCCCAATGAAGTCCATATTGCTGGAGAGAAAAGTCTTTAGGTGAAGCTGCTCGTATAGGAACTTGTTTTGTTCATAAGGAAGTATTTAGCATCCCAGGAGTTCTATGGTGGGAGTCAGCCTCTTACTGGCATTCTCTTTATTTAAAAGAGAATGTTGCTCAACTCTGAGCTCAGGGTAGGTGAGGGAAAGGCCGTCCATTGTTAGGGAAAAATAAATGCTAGGTATTGACCAACAGGTTGCATACAAGTGCGCAGGCTGGAATCTGAGCATTTTGTCTTCTATCTGGAGTGCCAAGCACACCTGGCCCCACTCTCAGGAAGCTTTTGCCTCTGGGTAACCTTGACAGGAGAGCCAGGGCTGACAAAGCCCACGGTGTGCACTGAATAGCCATGACTTTCTTCTTAGGCCTTCTGCCTACAGACTGAACTGAGAAAACACTCTAAGTACAGTCTGAGTGCTAAGAATATTTTCACTTTGTTGTGGATTATTGAGTAAACAAATGAATGGCTGAAAATGAATCCCCGCTGGTCCTGGGGTATCTGCAGTAAACACCTCTGCCAAGAACTTTGAGGATTTTGTTTGTAAAAAATCATAAAAATCGCACCAAAGGAGGACTAGGGGAGACCGTGGGTGCGCTCAATGGAAGCAGTTGGAAGGAAGGAAATCACATATAACACACAACTGGTCTGAACAGAGCTCATTCAAACTGAAGGATGCATTCAAGTAGATTTCTTTGTGTTGGAATTCTAATACAGACAGGTCTTCAGGGGCAGAAGGGAGCTTTAATAGATTCAGGTGAACTTAAACAATGAAATTAACCATTGAACCTTGGAACAGCATCCTGAGCTTCTCTGTCCCACTTTGAATTTAGGATAGAGGGAATTCAGCCTTTTTCCTCTATCTTGGTAGAAACCCGCTTCCAGAAGCACTTGGGCTGTTTTGCTTAACAAGAATACCCACACTTCCCTTCTCGGTTCTGTAGCCCTTCTGCTATTCCTCAATTCAACGCACTTGCTTGAGATTCTCCACTGCTTTATGGAAAAGCGCTCTGGCTGCTAGGAAGAGAGCAAGCTGGAACCTTGCAAAGCATCTAGGTTGTGCAGCTACAGCAGACAGGTGCTTGCTCTCTGCAGCCTGGGTCAGCCCCCCAAGTCTATGGAAATCGTGTTAGCAGGATGGCGTGCTGCGGGGGTTAAGAAAAGCTCGCCAAGACAGCTGGAGTGCTAGATGCCTTGGCCAGCTTTTTAAAGCAGGAAAAAAATAAAATAACAAACGCATATACGTGTCATAACTTAACGCCAAGAAGTCTTAACAGGTGATCTTGTCTGCGCAAGACAGTTTTTGTTTTGGAATGAGAATTCAAAAATAAAGCTTTAGCCGTGGCCCAGTGGTGGCTGAGACTGGGCGAGGTCTAAGGACTGACGGTTCAGTTTCTGTCTCTACCAAGAGGGTTTTGGGTTTCTTCAGCCTGTAAGCCGGGCTCTTGGGTCACGTTCCTTTGGTTGCTCTGTCTGAGAACTCCTTTCCTTCAAAAGGTACAGGAGCTGTATCTGTGACCTGGAAAAACGAACGCAAGGGCTGGGGTTTAATCGCCGTGCCCACATCTTCTGTCCCCCGCCCACCCCTCCAAGCTCCAGTCACTCTGTTCTCAGGCGCGTTCCAGAGTCCTGTCTTGTGCAGAATGTGCTTTTGGTCAGCAGGCGCTTAATATTTGGACGGAACACCATTAAGATCAACCAGGATGCTCGCTGGGATTTAAAACATACAACAAAAGGAAGAGTTCTCTCTGATGTTTAGAGGGAGGTGGTGAGCTCCTTAAGCGAGAGTCCGCTTTGTGCTCATACTCGATCCGCTGGGAGATGAACATGAAGGGAGACAGAAGGTGAGGGGCAGTGGAGGGCTCCGAGGGGTCAGATACACAAGGTGTCTTGCTATAATGGCTTCTTTTACGTCTGATTTCTGGCGGGAGGTCCTGAAAACTCCTTCCTGATAATTTCATTAACTACAAAAGAAAAGGGGGGAGAGAGAGAATGGGGCGAGTGAGAGGGCACCAAAAACATGCATCAGGTTCGCTTTCTAGAACCTCTATTGGACTGTTTATGTTTGCGACAAGGTCTTGCTCTGTCGCCCAGGCTGGAGCGCAATGGTCTGATCATGGCTCCTAGCAGCCTCAGCCTCCCGAGTAGCTGGGACTACAGGGGCATGCCACCATGCCTGGCTACATTTTTAAATTTTTAGTAGAGACAGGGTCTCACTATGTTGCCCAGGCTGGTCTCGAACTCCTGAGCTCAGGCGATCCTCCCCAAGAGCTGGGATTACAGACATGAACCATGTGCCCAGCTCTATTTTTTAAAAAAATACTTTTTTTGTTCCTTGTGATTGTATATTTGACAATTTTTAATATAATAAATGCTTTCCTATATCATTTTTTCAGACAATAATATTTTGTGCTAAAGGTCTGTTGGTGAAAATTGCTTAAATGGTAACTTTTTCAAATCGTTGTGGCAGAAATGGATTTGAACTATAGGGCATGTTTTGGGCACGTTTGAAGTAACTTTCTCCACTTCTGCATTTGATGGCACGCACTCGAGGTTTCTACTGGGTACCAAACTACTTCCACTATTTTGACATCCAGAAAATGCCTATTTTATGATTAATTCTGATAAAACATGGTTCTTTCTTGATCCATCAAACTTGTGGTTCTCAAAAGAGGGCCTCTCAAAAAGACAGCAAGTGAGAACCGCCCCCCTCCCCAACCCAAAGACTGACAAGCCATCAACATGAGCAAAGTTTTAATTTCAGCACAACCAGGTGTAAGGGTCATGTCCTGGCTCTGGAAAGTTTGGTCACCTCCCACCCCAGAAGGATGTGTGGGGTTCCTAGCAGGGAACCAAGAGCAGTACCAGTCACTGGCATCAAGAAGCAAGCCACCTTCCCCTACTTTGGCCACTGCGTAAGGTACTAATTACTAGACTTCAGGCAGTGAGATCTTAGGATAAAGGTTCCCTAAAACATTCTTAGAAATAAGAAGGTGTGATCAGTGGCAGCCCACCCATGGGGCAGAGGTGTGCGTGCCCTAAAGCATGCCTATTCCTTCAGTTTTGCAGGTAGACCATGTTGACTCATCGTGGGGTGGAAGGGACGAGGATATAGACCCCTTTGGGAGTCCTATCAAAGGTAGGTTAATTTTCCATTTCTTGGTTCTGACATTGAGTTCTTTCCACACCTCCTTATACTTTTTCTCGCCTTAGCTTTAAGTTACATTGGCACTGAGGCTTAAATGTTAAGAGTTGCCCAAAGTCTCTCCTGGTTGCTGGGTGCTTTTCCCTGGAAAACCCCTGCCCCAGTGGTCTGCAACCTCCATAACAAGAGGCAGGGAATGCAAAGAGCTGAACGAGCTGGGTTTGATTCTCTCTGATTGTATGACATTACCTCTCCATGCCTCAATTTTCTCTTGTGTAAAGTGAGAATCATCCCAGCACATAGCTTTTCAGGCTGCTGTGAGGATGCTAAGCATTCACATACATAAGGGCTAGCACAGTGCCTGGTGTTTACCAGCTGGTGCCTGTGATGGTCAGTAACATCCCCAGGCTCCATGTCGGACTCTGAATCCCATGCTTTGCAACCATAGGCTTTGTTTTGTGTCAGAAGGTCAGGCATAAGTCCTTGTTCTAGAGGCATGCCACAAGCATGTATATGAGAGGTCAGGTTCTAGAGCCAGCCAGAGTTAGAATTCCACCTCTGCTACTTCCTTGCTTGGTGAACCTTGCCTTGGTGATGTAACCACTCAGTGCCTCAGTTTCCTCATCTGTAAGTTACACCTAAAAATATTTCCTCCTATGTTGCTGGGGCGCTTGGATGAGATAATGCAGGTAAAGAAATGATTACAGTGCCCAGGCACAGCCAGTACTGCTTTGTAGACCAGTATATGTGTATTAGATATCTACATATTAGAAATACATAATTATGTGTAACTGTTCCACCATGTGGAAATGGATTCATTAATAGGAATGCAGAGGATGAATTCATATGTTTAGCTAACCGGCACTAACTGGGCATGTACTGTGTACTGGGTAACAGCTGACTCCCAGGAGCCCTAAGCCAGACGCTGAATAAGGTCTGTCAGCCCCCAGCCCCGATCCCCTGTGCCCCTGCAGCGGGGATGAGCTGATGGTGCTGTGTAGGACTTAAGCAGTGAAAGCTGAATGCCCAGGGCAGGTGGGGTTGGGGCAACCTCATGCAAAGCTTTTCAAAGCCCGGATTTTGAAGGGCTTCCTGTTTTCTCAACCTAGGAAGTGAGAGGAGTTGATCCTTAATGAAAACTTTCCACAGCCTCAGCTTTCTAAAAATAGCTGGTAGGCAGAGACGCTGGCACCAAGGCCCTCTCGCAGGGCTGCTTCCTTTCTCAGAACACAGGGCTGGGGCAGGGGATGGGAAGCAGGGAAACTTTTCAAGCAGGCCGAAGTGTGTTTCCCTCCCCTTGGATGAAAATGGTCCTGCTTTGGGGGAGCTACTTTTGGATAGAAGTGAAGAGTTGCATCTGGAAAATTCAGTGACCTATGCACTTAGACTTTCTCACTATTGGGGGTGGTGAGGTGGCCCAAAACCTCTCTGGGTAGGAACCTCCTCTTTCTGAAATCTTGGCACTTGCTCCCCTGACTGCCAACAAGGAGAAAGTTCTAGAACAGAAATGCCTGTTAGGTGGTGGTGACAGAGTGGAGCCATGTTGGGCTTAAAGTTCTGAGAGGAGGTCTCTGCCTAACCACTTACGTTTGCAGACTCGAGTACCAGGGTGCAGGGGGACCCCAGTGCCCTTCCTGCCACCTCTCCTGTCCTCGTCCCCTGCCTCACGCTGTCCCCCTGGGTAGCACCGTGCTTTCACCAGTCTATTGCTTTTCCTTCTCACATCAACAAGCCTCAGTCTCCCTGGCAAAGCCCCGCCTTGTGGCCAGCCCCAGCCCAGTCATGCTCCTGTCTTCTCACTGTCCCCTGCTGCCTGGATGCTCTCCTTTCCCCCATAGCCCTTAGATGCTGCCTTGGTGCCTAGAAAGTACCTAATAACGTTTACTTATGAACAAAATACAGACGCTTAGAAAGGAATCAGGAAACCTCAGGTCACAGCCAGGATCGGCCCCCCAAGTCGGCCTCTGAGGTTTGGATGTGAGCTACCCCCCTGTATCATTGCCATCCGCATTTTATTCCTCCAGTAATCTACCCTAGGCCAGCCACCGTGCCTCTCCTCCTGCCTGTTCCCAACCGGGGCCATGTGCGCTGTTCCAAATCCTAACTTCCCTTCCTGCCCCTGTCCAATGCTGCCTCTTGCTGGAAGCCGCCCCACATTCCTACCATGGTGCCCTCACTGCCCCCCAAAAGCAAGTACTGAATTTTCAAGTAGCCCCACTCAGGCATGGCACCAGGCACAGCAGGTGCTTAATGCCTGCATTAGCCCGCCACGCCCCACCCCCACCCAAGGGCCCTGCACCATCAGCCTAGGTCCCTTGGCTTAAAAAAGGTGATTTTTCTTTGTCATTAGATTGACAAATGGGTTGCTGATCTGTTACTTGTTTAGAGCCTTTCTCTCTAGGAAAGAATACGAGCCATTCACATTTCCTGAGAGCTGTGTGCCAGGCCCCATCCAGTGCCAGGGACTATTCCTAGTAACACCTCATCCCCATCTTATAGATGAGGAAGTAGAGACGGGCAGACAGATCTCCTTCACCTGCTAGGGAGAGTGACTAGGATTTGAACTCAGGGCTCATTTAATTAACTTGTACATGATATAGCCTCTGCATGAAGTTCAGTATTCATCCTCTTTCTTTTGGGGACCCGGAATCCTCTGTGCCATTTGTGTAAAGTCAAGGAAAGGCTGTGGCAGACTCTGCTCTTGACTCTTGCTCATCCTTAGAGAGAGGTGCCCTGGTGAGAAGCCCGAGGGAGAATGTATCAATAACCTCAGGGTGACTACTGAGCCTGAAATTGGAAAGGCAAAAGCAAACTGATCTTAAGTATATAAAAACTGTGTACCAAACATAGTGTAACATTTTCAGCATATACGACAAAGTCATATATATAAAGGATAGTCGTATTCTAATAAAAATGGCTACAGACATAAAAAGATGATATACCGGGGGTCAAACAAATTTTCCTGTAAAGGGCCAGGTAATATGTTCAGCTTTGTGGGCCCTTTCTCACTGAGACCTGCCAGTGTAGCATAAAAGCTGCCATAGACGATAAGCAAATGGGCATAGAAGTGTTCCCATAAAACTTCATTTGCCAAACAGGCGGGGGGCCATGATTGACCCAAGAGCTGCAGTTTGTCAACCCCTAGTATATATATGCTAATGGCAAAGAAGAAAAAGTAGGGTGTTCTCTTTGCCTACATTTTGGGGGAGGCGATCTGGGGAAGCCGACGTCGCTTACTGGCTTTCTAAACACTGAAACTGACTTCTGCTAGTATCCCACTCCGCCCTCGGAATCTTCTGTTTTGCTAGCAGGCCCAGACACCTGCATCTACTTTCATCAATTGAAAGGACTTTCAAGGGTACACTTCACGCTAGGCCCTTTCTCTTGGACTGCTGACTTTGAAATGGACTCCCCTGAGAAAGCAACAGGGAGGAGCGGGTAGGCTGCGTCCTGCTTCTCCCTCAAACCTCAAGCATGTTTCTAAAATCTGGTGAGACCACGTGAGTGCCCACGAGAGCCTGGGCCCAGCCACAAAGGCCATGGCCAGAAAGACACTCCTCAAGCTTGGATGGGAATCGAGAAGGCTGCGTTCTCCAGGCCAAATCAAAGAAGCTGAGAGCCAAGAGGGGGCCCAAGGCACCACCCCCAGTCCCTACTGCCTGTTTCGTCTGCCAGGCAGTGCCTTGCCGAATTCACTCCCACGACCCCCAGATGCTTGGGTCAGGAATGTGGAGCCGGAAAGCACCTGAAGTCCTCTCTGGGCTCTTCTGCTTTTTGTCCTAACTGTTCTCAGGGTAAGTGACTCTGAAGGCCAAGGAGGTAAGTTTCCTGAGCAACCGGGCCTGCCTTCCCCAAGACTGCAGTCTTGAGCCCTCCCCTGTGACTTTTTTTCAGTCTCCCTCTGTCACCCAGGCTGGAGTGCAGTGGCGCCATCTCGGCTCACTGCAACCTCCGCCTCAGGTGATCCACCTGCCTTGGCCTCCCAAAGTGCTGGGATTACAGATGTGAGCCACCGCACCCGGTCCTTCCCCTCTGACTTCTGTCTCAAAACTGAAAAGACCTGTTCGTGGAGACAGCTCTCCCACACCTCTGCTTTGCACTTGCTAACTTGCTAAGTAACTTCACAACGTTCATCTAAGAACAGAAAACCTTTCATAGGACTGTAGCCCGAAGCTGTGGGTGGGGTCTGGGGGGTGATGCAGCAGTAAAACCCCTACCAGGCCACGCTGCCAGAGCTGTGAGCCCCTGGATATCAGGGTAAGCTAGAGGCCTGAGCCGCTGCTTGCCAAAGTGCCCAGGCCCAAGACACACATAATATTAAATAATTTTTTTTTTTTTTGAGACGGAGTTTCACTCATATTACCCAGGCTGGAGTGCAATGGCGCGATCTCGGCTCACGGCAACCTCCGCCTCCTGGGTTCAGACAATTCTCCTGCCTCAGCCTCCTGAGTAGCTGGGATTACAGGCACGCACCACCATGCCCAGCTAATTTTTTTGTAGTTTTAGTAGAGACGGGGTTTCACCATGTTGACCAGGATGGTCTCGATCTCTTGACCTCGTGATCCACCCGCCTCGGCCTCCCAAAGTGCTGGGATTACAGGCTTGAGCCACCGTGCCCGGCCCAATTTTTTTTTTTTTTTTAAAAAGGCAACTGCCCTTCGACAAGTTCCCTGAGGGGCTTACCATCTCGGCACTGATCTTTTACTTGCATTTTTATCATCCTGATTCCTCGGATGCAAAGTCCTGAGGAGGGAGAGTGGCAGACGGTTGAAGAATGAGCCCCTCCCCCCAGAGGGTCCTCTCAGCAGGCCCCATCCTCTGGCAATCATGCTTCTGAAGTGTCAGCTCCCCGGGGGGTGCTAAGAGAAGCTCTAAGATGGGCTGGCCACTGCCCGTGCTGATTTATTCCAATTAGAACAACAGCTAAGAAGCTGAGGCACAGAGAGGTAATGCCACTTCCTCAATGTCTCACCTGGGCTTCACACCCCCAGGGGCCACATCGAGGTGGATCTGCTGGGCGAGGGGCTCTACTGAGCACCCTGGGAAACTCTGACTTCAAAAGCACAACAACAAGGAAGGGCCAGGGAGGAGCTGAAACCCTGAGTCGAGGGAATCAGGGTTGGAAATTACCTAAGCACAGGGCAGGGTTTCCTAGGTGGCTTTTCTGACCTCCCTGCCCACTCTCCTCCCCAGTCTAGAACACCTGCCACGGATGGAGAGCCTTATTTAACTGGACACCCACAGCGAAGTGTGCAAAACCAAAAAGGAGCAGCCTCCCAGGACAGTGCTGCATTGTCCCATGCAAGCCAGCCCCGGAACTGGGGCATGGGGCCCTGGAATCGAGGAGCATGCAAGTTTCCCGGGCCTCATCCCCCCCTTCTCCCGCCCAACCCTGAGCTCCAGCCACGTGGTCTGAGATTCTCAGGGAGGTCCCCAGGAGTGTCCACTTCAGAAGTGGAGGGCTCTAGCCCTTGAGAGCAGGAAAATGAGAAGAGAGGGCCTTCAGATGGTCCAGTTTTCTTAAAAAAAAATTCAAGTTAAGGAAACACACAGCTGGAAAACAAAAGGAGAAGCAGAAGATGTCAATTACCTTTCACTTTGATTTCTCGGATCAAAGATCACAGTCATTCTGTTTCATAATATGTTTTGTATCCAGCTAAGGTGTGTGTCTATCAGCTCTGAAAAAGATTTGCAAAATCATTTTTGAGAAGAAGAAAAAATCACCTTTGATCTCGCTTATGCTTCCAATTCATGCCAATATCATCCAAGCCCAGGAGAGAACTTAACCCTTTGGCTGTAGTTTAAGCCCCGATTCTGCAACATCTTAGCATTTGTGCCAGAATTAACCCAACACTAAGGTAGTAATTACTGGGATGGGGGACTGGGCAAAGCACGTTACGTTACATGGGGTGCGGGATGGGGAGTGTCAAGCTGGACAAAAGGGCTGCTGTGGGTGAGGGGTTTCAAATCATTGCCAACTACAAAGAGACAGTTACAAAGCTGGTTTCTGCTGCAGTCAAAGGAAAATGAGAATTTCAAAGATCTACTCAACTGTTATCTTCCTTCAGGCATCTACATATACTAAATTGGGCCCTGGTTTCCTTCTTACTGGCGATATCACCTCAGTGGTCAGGTAACTTCATAAAACTGCACATTTTCTTCCTGTTTTTTTGGTCAGCAATGGAGAAAAAAGCTCCTGCCTTATCAGGACAACGAAGGCACTTGAAGAGAATGAGACCTGAGGAGTCTAAGTAAACCCCTCTCTATATCTGTATAATGCCTACGGCTTTCAAAACACCTGTCTTCCCAATCCCCTTCGAATGGCCAAATTGGAACACCCGAGTCCATTCCAAATGCCTGATTTAGAAATATTTTCTGAGTCCACAGGGAGTAATGCAGCATTATTAGAAATGTCAAGTAAACTAGATGCTTTCTCAAGGAGAGGTGCAAGCTCCCCGAAATCTCCGAGTGAGACAGAAGGCTTCAGAAATGAATCCTTTTAGCGCTCATGCAGTTATAGGCCTGGATTTCCACATGTTGGGCTGCTACAGGAATTGGCTAGTTGGGGTTGGCTACTGCTGCCCTGGGGAAAAGCAGCACTCCGTCTCTCCTCCACTTCAGACCCTCTCCCAAAGCAAACATTCCCAGGTGCGTGTGGCACTAAGGCAGCTCCCACGTGACACTGCCCAGCCTCCACTCTAAACTGACTTCCTCCAAGTCCAAGAGTAAGCGGCACCATCAGATACTTCACTCAGGGCCTTAAAATACCACCTCTATCCTGACAACGGCCACGTTGTATTTTTCACCCAGACCCTCACTCCTGAGCTTCAGATTTCGATATCTACCTGCCACGGGTCACCTCAAGCTTCAGAGGGGCCAAAACCAATCTCTGGATGCTCGCCCCTCCCGCTCTGTCCACCCCCTGTCTCACCTGTTCCCATTATGGGAACACACATTCTCTCCTTCCAGTGGCTCAGGCCCACCTCAGTGTGTTCAGCCCACATCCCATCCATAAATGCTTCTGGATCTACCCACAAATAGCCAGAAACAACCAACCTCCACTGCTCCCCCAGCCCTACAGCACGGTGATCCTGTTGGAACTCCTATCAGAGTACGCCACTCCCTGTTTTGCTCAGTTGACAGCTCTGAAGTTCTGTAATAACCAAGATGTTTTCAATGTATCCATATCTACTCATTTAAGTCGCACTTAGATCTCAGGTGTTACGCTGAAGTTCTTTCTCTGAACCTTCAAACACCAAACCGCATGGTGCCCTGTGTTAATAGGGGGGCAGGGGGTACACTTGTACTGTCTCAGGGGACTCGAGAAGCCAAGCCCTGTTCTGTCACCTCCTCAGAGAAGGCATCACATGATGCCTCTGTCTGCAGCATTCAGAGGCGCAGCTTCCTGTTTAGTCATGGAGTTTCACTCTTTGTCAGCTGCGTTGTGGAAGGCACAGGCAGGGCCTGCCTTCGTTCAACTGAGGCCTAAAATCAACTCGAGTCCAGACCACCGCCAAACACCCTCCTCCGCAGGTGGAGGCTGCTCACTCTGCCTTCTCTAATCCCCACAGACCTCTCCGGAGGTGGTGGGGAGAGTCCCATTTCTCAGGCCAAGTTAGTAAGGCAGAGAAAGATGCGGTGACTTGTCCAGAAACAGCCTCTTAGCATTGGGTAGAGACCAGAGGTGGCCTCAGCTCTGTGGGTACTAGCCCCAGGCTAGGGTTTCCCCAATCTGAAAGACCCTCTGGCTGCCCTGGGACCTCTGATAAAATGCAGACTCATATCAGAAGCTCTTGGAACACAAGTACTCCAACGGTGCCTCTGCCTCCGTTTCCTCAATCATAAAACGGGGATGAGAACACCTCCTTGGCAAAGTCACTGTGAGGATTAAATGAGATATGATAGGCCAGGCACGGTGGCTCACACCTGTAATCCCAGCACATTGGGAGGCCAAGGCAGGCAGTTCACTTGAGGTCAGGAGTTCGAGATCAGCCTGGCCAACATGGCGAAACCCCGTCACTACTAAAAATACAAAAATTAGCTGGGCGTGATGGTGGGTGCCTGGAATCTCAGCTGCCTGAAAGGCGGAGGATGCAGTGAGCTGAGATGGTGCCACTGCACCCTGGCCTAGGCAACAGAGCGAGACTCTGTCTCAAAATAAATGAGATGCTATAGCTGGCTCATTGGCATGTATTTATTAAGTCTGCAATAGCGTCCCCTAAAGATGGAGGAGAAAGAGAAAAAGACCAGTCTAAAAGAGGCCACTCCAATAACCAAGAACACCATTCCATTTCCCTGCATGTTTAAAAGGGAAGTACGCCCGCTGATCCCTGTGAATGTGCTAGTCAGTTGTCGGTAATCTGGGGATGGGATGTCAAGAGAGAAGTCGGTATTCAGACTTACTACATGGTCCCTAAGTGTCATCTACAGATCCTCCCAAAGACACAGAGAGGGGTACCTCAAAAACCACAATTACCTTTGTGCCAACCTAATACAAGGTTACGGTCTGAGATCTATACAGTGGCCTTGCATTTTATCCCCCAGGGAATAAAATGGTGAGTCATCCCACTGGTCCTATGGACTAGATGATAGTTTGGGATGTAAATTAGAAGTTTAGAAGTGGTTCTATCCCCCGGGGAATAAAATGGTGAGTCATCCCACTGGTCTTATGGACTAGATGATAGTTTGGGATGTAAATTAGAAGTTTAGAAGTGGTTCACTGATTCACTTAATCAATGGTGACAATTTTCATAAAAACACAAGGGTCAACAAATAGCCATTACAATCAAAAGTACAGACCCAGGACTCTGTCTCCTGACAAATTATACAACTAGCTTCCCAGACTTCTGAGATCACAGGCATGCACGTTTAAATGGATGGAATTTAAGGGAAACCCCACGTGCATCTCCACGGTGGAGCCAGTGGGAGTTAGCCACGGGTCTAAAGGACGTCCACTTTTGGTTCTACAATGTAAGACAGAGGTCCCCTCCTAGCCAGTGTAGGCCATGCTACCACCTTCCCTCCGTTTTCTGCTTTTTTGCAATGATTGCCCATCAACTTACAATCTAGGGAAAAACAACTGGTGATGTTCTCCAAACTAAGCTACCCCACAGGGAAGGACCAACCAACTGTAGAAACTCAGACCTGAGCTGCCATTTCTGTTCTCCAGTTCAGCAGAATTTTTTCTGATTACATGCAGCTAAGCTGCGCCTCTGCTATCAGACAACCACAGGCAGGAAAGCATAAACAAACCACAGTTTACTTCCTTGGCCCTCAGCCAGTTTATCACCACCTTGGCCCCCTCCTCTGCTAAGAAACATCAGCCAACAGATCAAGCCCTGCAAAATAACTTGTTGCCTTTGGGGAAAAAAATGGCAAAAGAAAAGCACTTGTTACCATATTGAATGGACACACAGGAATCAAACAGCTTCAAACACACAAATCAGCCTGTGATCACAAATGAGATGATAAATACCTGATTTTTGAGGAAGCCGCATACCAATAAGCCCACTCTGGGGCTATAGGAATTAACAAACATTTCTTTTAAGATAAATATTTGAGTTTATGTCTCTTTGCTTATCCGTGAGAGATGGAATTGCGGGCAGGTAAGACTCTCCCAGGTGGATTAGCAGGTGGAAGCCGGGAGCAGAAAGATTTCCACCCCAACTTGCTCTGCTCATGTCATAGAGCATGAAACTTCTTCCTCTTCTGGGAGAAGGTGCAAAATCCCTGGCCTGGCTTCATAAAGATCTTTCTTCAAATACCAACATGGCCCCTGATTCTTAGAAAGAATTCACTGGATATTTACTGAATCTTCCAGCCTCGTCTCCCCCTCACCCTCCCATCAGTTCACCTTCCAGATCATTCTGTTTGCCCACATATGCCAGGACCAGCTCACAGCACAGCCCCGACACGAGATACTCCCCTCACACACATCCACATTCTTCCAAAGCTCAACTCAGGCCCACATCCTATAAGCAGGCATCCCTGGCCATGTCACACTTTCTTCCACAAATCTTTAGATCTTTCTTTTGTATTTTAAGTCTCGGATTTCCCACAAGAGAGGTCAACCATACTCCCGCCATGCTTTTCAGATTCGAAGGCAAGAGAAGCCACTAGGCTGCCTGCAAAGACATTTTTCAAGGTTCAAGCAAGGACCAGGCTCTGTCTTCAGTTTCTCCAAGTGAGATTCACAGGCGTGGCCCTTGCACTTACTGCTATCAACTCAAAGGCCACCTGGAGTGACCAGCAAGGACAGTGTTCATGGGTGACACTGAAGCAGGTGTTCCTAAAAGATACTAGCTCCCAGGACACGCAGACAGAGCCTGCACTCCTGACTCACCCCTTGATCAAATCTTTCACCTATACAGTCCCTGCTATGTACTGAGTTATGCCCCCACCACCCCTACCAAATTCCCATATTGAAGCCCTGACCCCCTCTGTAATGGTATTTGGAGATGGGGCCCTTGGGAGATAATTAGGGTTTGCTGAGGTCATGAAGGTGTGGCTCTCATGGTGGAATTATTGCCCACAGAGAAGGGCCACCAGAGGTCAGTCTCATTGTCTCTATGAGGAAACAATGGGAGAAAGGGTGACTGCAAGCCAGGACCTATGCAGGGCCTCTCCAGAGCCTGATCTTGACCCCCTGACCTTAGATTGCTAGCCTCTAGAATTTGTA